TTTTTTTTTTTTTTTTTTTTTTTTGCGGTACGCGGGCCTCTCACTGCTGTGCCCTCTCTCGTTGTGGAGCACAGGCTCCGGACGCTCAGGCTCAGCGGCCATGGCTCACGGGCCCAGCCGCTCCGCGGCATGTGGGATCTTCCCGGACCGGGGCACGAACCCGTGTCCCCTGCATCGGCAGGCGGACTCTCAACCACTGAGCCACCAGGGAAGCCCCCCAGATGCCTTTTAAATAAAGGAATCCTCCTGCCCTGGCAAGGCAATGGGACAATAAATCATGGGAACTATATTTTAGAAAGAAAGGTCTGAAGGATGCCCTGTAGCAGGTTAGCAAGCTGCTGTAGTAATAGAGAACAGTGCTTCTCACCACTTCACTGTGAATATGCATCACCAGGGGATCCTGTTAAAATGCAGATTCTGATTCGGTAGGCCTGGGGCGGGGCCTGAGATTCTGCATTCTAACAAGACTCGAAGGGGATGCTGAGGTTAGGACCTCACCCTGCATAGTCAGGACGCAGATGATAGGCATGACACTGACAGTGGCAAGAGCGAGAGAGAAAGGGTGGGATCGATTTGAAGTGAAAACAAATGGCAACTTTGTCAAGCTGCATCTAACATCATATTCACCTGAGATTGTACAGTGATCAAATGAATCGGTCAATAACTAAATAAAGTAACAATGGGAGTATTATATCACACACTAGGCAACGTAAAGCACATTATGAAATAGGTAAGGCCAGAACACCTGAACATAAATTGACTAACAGTGTAAACGTAACATGTGAACTCAGCATTTAAAAGAAATGTATAACAAATCATTATTGAAATTGCTAAACACATTACCTTTTAGTGGCTCTCTAATTGGGGATTTAATGTAGACAAATCTACATTGATTTCCACATGGTTTCATTTAATTCATTTGTTTTTTAATATATAGGCTGTCTCCTTTCCAATAAAAGGGCATGGGATGGATTTAGGATAACATAATAAAGGACATACATGTGCTATGGTTAATAAAAAGGAAAAATATCAACGTCACAGAAAGCAAATACCTAACCACAACACTAATATAATTATGGTGATGGCATGCCAATGTGGGTTTGAGCTTCCTGGTTTTTCCTTCTTTTTTTTTCTTTTTTTGTACATTTATTTATTTATTTTTGGCTGCGTTGGGTCTTTGTTGCTGTGCGCGGGCTTTCTCTAGTCACGGCGAGCAGGGGGCATTCTTCATTGCGGTGCGTGGGCTTCTCATTGCGGTGGCTTCTCTTGTTGCAGAGCATGGGCTCTAGGTGCGCGGGCTTCAGTAGTTGTGGCTCGCGGGCTCTAGAGCGCAGGTTCAGTAGTTGTGGTGCACGGGCTTAGTTGCTCCGCGGCATGTGGGATCTTCCCAGGGCTCGAACCCATGTCCCTGCACTGGCAGGCGGATTCTTAACCACTGAACCACCAGGGAAGTCCCTTCCTGGTTTTTCTTATCAAATGAATAAATTAAGGAAATAAAGCGGTCGCCCACCAAAAAACTAAATTCCAAAGGAAGTTTCTCACTTGGAACCTAATAAGGCAATTGAACAATATTAATGGATAACATTCTCAATAATTTTCAGCAAATGCAGAAATTTATGTTTTATAAGAATTCTCATAACTCTGCTCAATATAAGTACCAAGGCCGTGATATCACATGGTAACTCGGGCATTCTGATGGGGCTGAGTTATGAGTCCAGACATGTAGCTGCCTGTTGATAAAGAGATGGTCAAGGTTAAAAGAGAGTAGATGGATCACATATCTGGTAAAGGTCCTTCTTTAGCTACAGTCCCTTGTCCCAGCTTGACTTTCAATGCAAGCTAGAGAGCAGACAGCAGGGCACAGGCCCAGAACTCCGGTGTGCTATACTGCTGGCGGGGAAGGAGCCACAGGCTTTGAAAACCACAGCTGGCAGGTTTGTCACACTGAGAAAGAAAGTCCAAGATGTGGCAGCCTGGAAATACAGAACAGTTTAGTAGTGACCGCTGGAGTTTGAAAGTTGAAGGCCAAAGATACTGGTTTCCGTTTTGACAATGGTGAGTTGTTCTCTACAACAGTCATTAGATATAAGGTGAATGGATGCCTGGCCTTTATTTAAAGCTCTTCTTAATTATGCCATTCATTAAACCTCTACTGGTTTCTCTCTTTTGTCAACAGATGTTTTTCTTTAACAGGAGAATATGCATCAAGCAAGGAATCCATCAAGCAGCCTTCAGGGGGTCAGTCCCTGTCGCTCAGGGACTAAGCGTCTGCCTTGAAGTCAACCTCCCTGGGCTCCAATTCCGGTTTTGCCACTTGTGCACTTCTGTGAACTTGGGTAACTGAGCCTGAGGTCTAAATCCATAAAATGAGGATAACAATAATGCCCAGCTCATAAGTGTTTGTGAGGAATCACTGAGATGATTCATGGACATTGCTTAACACAATGCCTGACACCAATATACGTGAGCTTTTATGAGTACTCTTGTTCTAAACAAGGTGAGATTATGGTCTGTTCTAACAAGACGTGACCGCCTGCGCTACTACTTGCCGTGTCATTAAGATACAGAGAGACCCACATGAGCCAGACATCACCTTCTCAGCCTCGTCTCCTCCCCTTCACTCCCACCACGGTGGTCGCACTGGTCCCGAGACTTGCTAAACTTGTTCTTTGGGCTTCCACGTCTGCTATTCCTCACCCAGAAATTATTTCTTCCAGATCCTCCCATGGGCAGTCCCTTCCTATCCATCAACCTTTGGTTTAAACATTCCTCCACAGGGAGGCTTTCCCAGGCTCCCATCCCACCCACTACTCCATCCTGTTCAGCTTCTTCATAGCACTTATCACTATCTGGAACTATTTATGTCTGCTTGCTTATTGTCTCTCCTCCACTAGAAAATGAGAGCCTTGAGAGCAGAGAATGTGTGTCACGTCCACTGGTATCTTCCCAGGGCCGAGAGCAAGTCTTCAGGCAAAGCAATCCTTTTGCCTAAATAATGGCTGTACAAATGGGCCCCAGAGAGTAAATGAAATCATTTAGACACTGTCACCGTCTAAAAATTGTAATTCTTGGTATAGCTCACAGTTCAGTAAAGTAAATGCTAAATGTGTTAAAAACTATCTCTTTCTTTTAAGACATTATTTGAGATAAGAAACATCATCTAGTCCATCAATAGGATGTGCTGTTTAAGTAGATGTTTTAAATTGTGGGAAGAAATGTTTGCTGTGTTTGCCATTTTTTTTTCTTTCTACTTGTGCCTGAGACAAGGTCATTATGAGACTTGACTGAAAGTTTGATTGCCTTGTTTGCCTTCTGGCAATTTGTCAATATAGAATATATAAAGCAATCAGAATGTTTTTTTATGGATACAAAAATAACAAAGAGAGTTATGACCGAGTGTTGCCCTTAAAAGTAAACTCCCGTTTAGACACCAATAGCCTTCTACTGTGGGAAATTTTCGAAACAAATTTTGTCAGCTATATCTTATCATCTTTATTTGGTACTGACATTTTATACCCCACGAACGTGACTCAGGAAATACTTATTCATATGGAACCAAGGCTTCAAGCTTCATGGAAAGATTTATACAATTTAAAATTATGACACATTTCATTCCTGGGAGGGTCATATCTTTTTAGATTGTCCTGGTTGAAGTCTGATATAATCCAGACTTTAAAAGTCAGGGAGGTATATTTCCTTTATATAACAAAGTCTTCCCCCTCATCTTTTCGGGCTGCCCCTTCTCATAGAGGTTAAACTCAAACATCAGTTCCTTGGCTCCCAGAGCTAAAGTCGCCATCCTCAAGTCCCTCATTATCCCATTGCCTTCTTTTTCCTTCAAAGCTCTGATCACCACTTGTGTTGATGTTGTTCACATTGCTTGTCAGCTTCTCCACTGGCTGCATTCCCCTCCAATAGAGCTCTGTGAGGGCAGGGACCTCGTCTTGTTCACCACTGTTCTCACAGCAGCCAGAATACAGCCTGGCAAATATTAGGCACTCAATAAATGACAAAAGGGACCAGATCAAGGCTTCCATTCCTTTTTTTTTTTCTTTTTTTTTTTCTTGCGGTACGCGGGCCTCTCACTGCTGTGGCCTCTCCCGTTGCGGAGCACAGGCTCCGGACGCGCAGGCTCAGCGGCCATGGCTCACGGGCCCAGCCGCTCTGCGGCATGTGGGATCCTCCCAGACCGGGGCATGAACCCGTGTCCCCTGCATCGGCAGGCGGACTCTCAACCACTGAGCCACCAGGGAAGCCCAGGCTGAGCAATTTTTGAATCCTATGGCCCACTAGGTCTTTATGTATACAATTGGCACACTCTGCTTACAAGTCCAAGTTTGAGTAGAATGTTTAAATAGAGCTGAAACCTGGAACTTAATTTAAAATTTGCTCTGCCATGACTTTCAAAGATTTATCACTGAAAACTAGTATATAAAAACTCCCCAAATACTCAGTTTATTAAAACAAACACACAAAACTCTCAAGTCCTACCTTTTGGACCACCGGTAGCAGGCCCTTCCCTGACCACAGCAGTTCAAGCCTGGTATTCTGTGTCCACCGGATCTTTTCATTATCATACCTTCTCTGAAAGAGACATCAAGTTAACCCATCATCTTCAAGCTTCCAGCTCACATTTAGCTGATACAGCCTCACAACTTAGGACTAAATATACCGTTTCGTTCTCCCGTGTCTTTCCTCCCCACTTTTTCCTCTTCCACTGTCAAATAGCTCAATGCTATGTTTACTAGGCTGATTACTAGGCTGATGTTTACTATTCCAGCAGCTAATCTTTTAAAGTACTCTGGTCAGATGCAGGCCTGTTGGCACTGGGGGCAGCATAATTCTGTTACACACACTGCAGGACCTTAAGCATTCCAGCTTCTGGCTCTAAATGCTGAGCGTTTCCTCCAGTCACTGTGACAGCCTGAAAAAGACCCCACATGTTGCTAAATGCCTGCACGGGGAAGGTTCAGCTGCTGTTGAGACCACTGGAGATGCTCACCCACAGATTCCACAGATATATTTCTGCATCCCTTCACCTACAGTTCTGGTACAAAGCCGTGCCAAAGAAGCAGAGCAAAGCTATTATCAATACTTTGGAAGAAAAACTAGCCTGGTTTTGAAAGATGTGAAAAGAAAGAATAATAATAGTGGCTAAACAGACAAAAATTAAAACAGCTGCTAACAATGCTCTTTACTACAAAAGTTAAGCTCTTCGTAATATCAGGCTCTCATATTATGAAGGAAAATAATCATTAAATAAATTTCAATCCTGTTACTTGGCATACATTTTATACAGTATTATTTTTAGTATACGTGATTAAAAGAAGGGATCTTGTATATTTGATTTCTAAGGCATTCTCCCACACATCATATTTGCTACCTCTGTTAAACACCCCTACTGTGGGGTTAGAGGAGGAGACTGGAGCAGTTGACACCCTTGTTTAAAGTAGCAAGATACTCTGTTTTGTATAAATAGGTCCCTCAGTTGCTCTAACTCTGTTGGGAAGAAAAGCAGCGATCAGTGAAGCCAGGTGAGCTCTATCACCTTGGCAAATGTTAAAAAATCAAGTGTTAATGCTCATCAACTTTTCACACTTCTCCTTAGAGATCCGACACTGGAACTTACATGCCCTTTGGTCCCAAATCATGGATGAAGGACAGCTGGCTTATATCAAGGAATTCTGTCTGAAAAGAGGCCAAAAATCCAAACTTTAGAAAGCAAAAAAAGGAGGGGGGGAAATTTATGCATTCAGAAAGATATTATTAGGTACCTTCATGTATAAACACGTCTGGGGTACTCTACAGACGACACAGATCAATAACAATGGTATTGCCCTGAAAGAGTATATTTTAGAAGCATATACACAATTAATACAATCAAGAAAGTGATGATAGCTCTAAGATGAAGAGACAAATGCTCAAGAAGCTCATGGAGAGATCTGCCAATGGCAGTAGACCATGGCAATAACAGCCTTAACAGAAAATCAAAGACGAAAAAGACACACTCCTGGCATTAGGAGGCAAAGGGGAGACCAGACATGGAAAACACTCCACATCAACCAAGTTCTATGGGAAGAACCATAGCAGTTACACGGAAAAGTAGTTATAAAGTTATAGAATTATAGGGAGAGGGTGACCACTTCCTAGCTAATGTGACATTACAGAGGAAACAGCACTTGATCTGGGCTTGTAAATGGGATTAATGAAATGAAACGTAACAATTTTCCTTTGAAGTTTTGTACACATGATTGGGACTCTCTAATATTAACCTTGTAAGAAAAATTACACACCTCTCAAAGCTGTCAGTACTTGTGAAGTCCAATTAAATGCTTAGTTTTCTTTCTTAGGGTTATTTGAAGGAGTCTTTGAAATTCAAAAGGATTTAAATATCTTTAAAAACCCCAAATCAAACATATCCTCACATAGTACTTTTTATAAGGATTTTATATAAAACATGGTAATTCGGTACCATACAATTTCAAAATCTGATTTGTGGAACTGAAGTGATACCACAGATTTTAAGCCACAGAATCCAAAATGTCTCAAGATCCTAAGCCATAAGTTCTCATTTTACCTCTAAGGAGCAGAGAGAAAAATACTAACCCTAGTTTACACTGGAAGAAACTACTACAGAGGTGTAACTAAATTATGCAAAGTCAGAGACTAGTTGAATGGAAGAATAGGAAATGAAAAGCAAACATCAGGGAAACCACTTATCTATTACCTGGATATTTTCTTATGCACATTAGCTCTTATCAAATAGTTGACAACAGAAATATTCATTGACCTAATTCAGAAACGATAACTTCAGAATATCATACCCAAATTGCTAAACGTAAAGAATTTCATCTAAATAAAAAGGTACACATTAGCAATGCAGAAAATTTTAAGTTGTGTAGTAAGATAAAATTTAAATTTATCCTAATGGTTTACTAAAGAGAAATTTGGAGGAAAAACTAGTCTTATTACACAGAAAAAAAATCTTTGGCAATAAATGTTCTAATACAGATTTATGGAATTGAAAAATAAATGTGGCAAAGCCAATTTAGAAGCAATCCTAAATAATACAATTTGAAATATAATATTGTATTGTCCAAACTTCTCCAAGCATCTTCAGGGATAAGAATTCCATTCTCCATTTGGGCAGGTGATTCTCAGGAATAAGAATTTAAAGATCAATTTAGCCTGACAATAATCCATAGGGCTTACTGATCTCTGAATAATGTACTAATCAATATCTTTTTTCTCTCCAGTGGAACTCGTGAAAAGCACATTTAAATGTTAAGGAAACAGGGAAGCAAAGGGTTCCCATGCCAAAGGGACAAGCAACAAACCTGAGGGGTAATAACGGACCCCAGAAATTACTGGGGGCTCGTTTTACACTTATAAAAATATAAGTTAATTATATGTGATTATATAAAAATAACTTTTAATATGTTTTTCGCAGACAGAAGTTTTAATATGTCTCACAATTATCAAAGGAGACACACAGATGCCAATCTAATTTCTCAAATATGAGACAGAGGCCTGCAAATCTAGTCTCTGGGACAAATTATAATTAGCGTGAGAGGAAAATAACGCTAGAAAATTAAGACAGATCAAATTGTATCCCATGCTTGAAGCATTTTGGAGAATTCCGCTGTTAGGGAGAATAATCTAAGTAGCCACCAAAAAAGAGGGATTCCCTGGCAGTACAGTGGTTAGGACTCAGTGCTTTCACTGCCGTGGGCCCGGGTTCAATCCCTGGTCAGGGAACTAAGATCCTGCAAGCTGCGCAGTGAGGCAAAAAATAAAATAAAATAAAAAATAGGGCTTCCCTGGTGGCGCGGTGGTTGGGAGTCCGCCTGCCGATGC